CCATGGCTCCTGGAGAGCCTGCTGCCCCCTGCTGGAGGAAACACTGATCTCTATCCCCTTTTTGTAGAGTCATTGGTTTTTCAATGCAAAATCTACAACTACAAACACCCACTAAGGGAATTTGAAGTCAGACAGTTTCAAAATGGAGCTCGTCTACCTTTAACTGTGAGCCTGGCTGTGGTGCGCACCCCTTCAGCTGAGAACACGATGGTGCCGGTGTCCTCCAGGGTGAGGCTGGACATGGTGAGGCCGTGGACCCGTCCAGTGGTGCTCACCCTCCACTGGTTGTTTGGCTTCACCCGGATGCCGTCCTTCTGCCAGATGCCCTCAACATCAGTGTGGGAGAGCTCCACCTCGAAGGTGGCAGTCTCTCGTTCAAAGGTTTCATGGTCAGTCAGGCCTTTGCGGATGGAGATTTTACGGGCTGGATTACAGGATATGAGGGAGAGTCGTGTAGTGAGAGGATTGTTTCAAAAGAAAAACTGAAAATCTGAGTGTAATTTTGAGAATGCAGCATTTTAAAAACTGTACATTGCATTTTAAGTGTAAAGCTTTACGGCGCAGCTTCCACGTCCACTTTAAAAGAACCGTGTGATTCAAGGACAACACAAGGTGGTTCAAATATAGACACAGCTCAGCTTATCACATGACAAATAGCACCTACTGGAGCAGTTCACAGTATCACTAAGCACATTATTGTACAAGAGTATGGCTGTGTTTCAAAAACCTCTTCACACTCAGGTCGGTCCAGCCCAGCTGCTCTTTGGGCCTTTTGCACCGACATCCTGAGAAACACACTTTGGCTATATGCTCTTCTTCTTTTGGCCAGACTCTCTGTCAGATGCCAGACGCCTGCATCTGAATAACTCCTGCTTCTTATAACTGTCTGGTTAGAAAGGTCTCAAACAATTAGTCAGTCCTGGAAAATAGTGTTTGGCTTGTGGCGCTGGTTTTAGAGCTGCTTTCATCTCTTCTGTGTTACTGTTTTGGTTTTTATGCTGGAAAGACATTAGCATCTGTTCTTCCTTAATGTTTTGTACATGAAACAATACATCAGTTAATAAACAGTTGCATGAACAGATAATCAAAGTGATCCTCATTACTTGCAGCTACTTTCTCCGACCTGTTCAGAGAGCATCTTCCTCCAGAACAGATACTGCTGGCACTTTAAAGTCATTAAAATCAATCATATTTACATGCTTCACAACAGAACAGCTTCACAGTGCATTCAGAATTTGGTTTTGTTCCAAAGCCTAAAATCCAGTATTCTCTGAATGCTTGTGGACCATGTTGTAGATCAGCTGTAGTACCTGGTTGCACCACTGGTGGAACTTCTTGCTGTTTACGGGCTCTTCTGCGATGGCCAGCAGAGAGCATTGTGGCAGTCTAGCTGGCAACAGGCCACCAGGACAGTGACATTAGGGATGCTTAATGTCAGAAGTGTTTTACATAAGGCATGCTGGTGCAGCTGACACAGATGTGCCAGAGGATGTAAACATAGGAAGAGCTGATGCTGAGAAGTTAAAAAAATGGTCTGATTGGTAGGACGAATCCTTGACATTGGCTCGCCATATCTCCAGCTGCAACCATAGACTCTGTGTGGATTCAGGCTTGGTAAAGGTCAGGGCACAGTGTTTGTTTCACATTTCTGGAAACACATCATCTACAACCCACTTACGTTCTACATTGAGTTTGACCTGCGTCCGGTCATGAAGAGTCTCACAGCGGTAGGTTCCCCGGTCTGACATGGTCAGGTTGTGGATGGTGAGGCTGCGTTTACAGCCGTTCTGGGCCAGAGTATGTCGAGGTCCAGACTGGATGACCACCCCCTGCCTCATCCACTGGACCTCTCCTGTCTCCAGGCAGATCTCTGTCTCCAGGGTGGCGTCACCAAACTCCTCTGCCATTACAGCCTCCGTTCTCTTGGTAAACATGACCTGAGCCTCTAAACACAATGAGGAGAGTCAAACATAAAGGTTATTGTTAACTGCTGGTCACTTTTGCTGGACACTTTATGCCTCCTTTGCTTGGATAAAGATCTTACCCTGAACTTTGAGACTAGCTTTACTCATTTTTCCCTCAGCCTCTGCGGTAATCTTTGAGCAGTCCAACATCTGGCACTTTTTAATCATCAAGGTGTGGCACAGGCCATTCTGGGTCACCTGGAAGCGATCTCCCATGGTGATAGGCTCGTTATCCATGAGCCAGACCAACTGGACATCATCAGGAGAAACGACACACTTAAAGGTGGCGTCTTCACCTTCTAGCACAGTTGTGTTGTGGAGCTCAGTGAGGAACTCAACCACTCGAGGCACTGACAAGACAGAAGAAAGCTCATGAAGTCGCTACCCAATGTAAGAAAAGACAGAAATTCTGTCTCCAAGTGTACTTACACTCCACTCTCAGTCTGGCAACAGTCCGGTCATCTCTGGACTCACAGGCGTACTCCCCTGCATCCTCTCGGGTTAAACGGTGGATGGTGAAGCTTCGCTCAACTCCATCTGCCCGAATTGTGAACCTCCTGCTTGGAACCATTTCTATGCCGTTCTTCAGCCACTGAACATCTGCTTTGGGCTTGCACACCTCACAGCGAAGCGTCACCATGCCGTCAGCATGTGCCACAGTGTCCTGAAGGGGCCTTGTGAACTTAATTCTCATTTCTAGAACATAGACGATGAAGATTGATATGACATTTCATTCCAGTCAGTTTTCTACAATGCTGTTGGACATAGAAGATGAATTTTTACCTTTCACCAGCAGGCTAAAGTGAATCTGGTCTGTGCTGACATCGCAGGTGTACTCGCCGGCATCAGAGCGCCTTAAAGGCTCAATGATCAGCTCGCGTTTATGGCCCTCCATGAGCGATCGAAAGCGTTCCCCTTCCACAGGTGTCCAGTCTTTCATCCAGCGCACCAGAGCACTTTCCTTGGACACATAGCTTGTCAAAGTTACGTTCTCTGCTTCGTAACCTGTCACCACAACGTCATCCTCCTTGTTTACAAAAGTAACTGGAGGCTCTTTAGAAAAAGAACAGCCAAAGATTAGATTCTTCTACGATCAGACTCTTTCCCTGAAGACCTACATTTTGGCTTTATACCTTGAATCCGGACAACGCTGATCATCTTGTCGTCCACAGCATCACACACGTACTTTCCAGAGTCTGAAGACTGGACACATGAGATGATGATTTTCCTCAGAGTCCCGTAGCTCTCGATGTAGGTTCGGGAGTCACTAGTGAGCAGTTTGTCGTTACAGTACCACTGGACCGGGGCGCTGGGACGGGACACCTCACAGGCCAGGATCAGGTCATCGCCTGCCACCATTTCCTGGTAGTCGGGATCACTTGAGTTCCCTACAATAGTCACTGGAGGCTCTAGGAGGGAAAGGATTGGTTAGTAATTCAAGAAGTGTTTGGTTTCACCTTGAATCAGTAAAATCAGAGAACTGAGTTTTACCGTCGACCGTGACCTGGAAACTGATGCTGTCATCGCCAACATCCATGAAATACTCTCCTGAGTCTCTGAGTTCAGCATTGAGTATGACCAGCGAGCGGAAAGCACCTTCCTCCTCTTCACAGAACCGTTCATCACCCTCCACACGGCAGCCATCCTTGTACCATTTAGCGGCAGCATTAGCTCGAGAGAGCTCACACTCCAGCACCATGTCGTCAGAAATCAGGAACTTTAGGTTTGTCTTGATCTCTGACTTTCTCAGGATCTTCACTGGTGGCTCTGAGGATGCAGAATTAGGTCTTTAAAATTACTCTATTGTCCAGAAAATACCTGTAAAGACAACCTTTGCCTCTTACCTGAAATTCTGACTTGGAAATCAATTTTATCATCAACAGCATCACAGGTGTATTTCCCAGAGTCCTCTGGAGTGGGAGCATGGATGGTCAGACGGCGGAGGAGACCATCCTCTGTCATGGCGGCATGACTGCTCGGCTCTATTTGTCGACCATTTAGCCACCACTTGACTTCTGCGGTTGGCCGCGACACCTCGATCTCCAGAACAACTGGTTTACCAACAAAACTGTGGAGTTTGTCGGGTGTGTTTTTAGAATGAGAAAGCGTCACTGGTGGCTCTACGGTTAAAGAGGAGGGATGAAATAATCAAGATGGATTGATTCATGAAGTTCCCTTTTATCAAGATAATAACAGGACAGGTCCACCTGCTTACCTGTGATCGTCACCAGGAAGGCCACAGCGTCATCCTCAGTGTCACAAACATACTCGCCTGCATCATGCACAGTAGTTAAGGGTACGACCAGCCGGTGGTGGACTCCATCCACCTCCAGCATTAGGTTAGGACCCTGCTCTACCTCCAGGCTGTCTCTGAACCACCGGACAGCAGCATCCGCCTGAGAAATCTCACAGCTGAGCTCCAGCCTCTCTGAAGCCAAACAGGTCACTTCTAACTCTGAGTCACTGGGAGAAATGATTCTTATTGGTGGCTCTGGTGCAGAAAGAGGAGATTTAAATGTAAACCCGTCGTATTACTTGTATAGTTGCATGTATAGTATAATAAAAAGCAAGCAGCCAAGTGTTACCTGTAACTGTAAGCTGGAAAAAGACGGAGTCTCCGTCCGTTTCACAGACGTACTCTCCACCGTCCTCTGCTGAGCCGCAGGCGATGGTCAACCTCCTGTAAGGACCTTCTGATATCAGCTGGAGGTTGTTGCTTTCCTCGACTTGCTGGCCATCCTTGAACCACCGAACCTTCCCGCTGGAGCGAGACAACTCACACTGCAGCTGGACCTCCTCTGAGATGTAGCTCTCCATCACTACATCATCCTTTGGCTCCACAATCATCACTGGAGGTTCTGTATTGACAGGATAGGAGGAGAGTGAGGTCAGGTAATGTTTGTTATACGGCTGGTGTTTGTCGATATAACACCTTTAATTTGTATGAATTCAAACAGATTCCTCTGAAACTCTAAGTGTCTTTAGATATTTCCAGGACCAACATGAGTCAGAAATGTCCGTGCACCTCTGACATTGACAGTGAACTCCATGCTGTTGTTTCCTGCTTGGCAAGTGTAAGTTCCAGCATCTGAGGCCTCTGCTGAGCGGATGATTAACCTCCTCATGGTTCCTTCTGCCTGCACGGTGATGTTGTCACTGGGCTGGATTTCACAGCCGTCCTTATACCTGGGACACAAAATAGGTACAAAGTAAATGTCACATCATAGAAAAGCTGGTCAGACACTTCAAGTTCAGTTGCTGTGCAGAGGATGGAGGACACTGAAACTATGACTGTGTTGTGTTGTATGCAGTGGAGCCGTTACACAAACACACAGCAACACATGACTGACATTCCTCTGGTTGGATTTTCCCTAAAAAAACAGGTAGATTCAGAAGTTCTTATTCCAGTACACACATTATTGTTTGAGTCATTTTCCTCTTCAACACTCTAAATGAACGTTACAGTGATACTGCTGGTAAACACAATAAAAACAATAAAAACTAAATGAACAGCAACAACTGAAACGTGTTTGTATTGATTTTTCCAAACCGGATTCTCTTACCACACAACTTCAGCATCCTCTCTGGAGACATGGCTGAGCAGCACCACTGGGTCCAACTCCATGCTGGACTTATGCAGCTCATCCTCTTGGACTGGACTGAACTCCACTGGAGGACCTGGAAGAACCAGAAGGAGGGAAGGATGGAGCGACTGTAACACAGTGTGTGAAGTGGCCTCTTCAGAGTGTAGTTCTCTGGTTAAATCATAAAACCAGCTGTGGATGAACTATTTCTGATAACAACTGTTCAGCATTTTTAAACATTGTTTTGGGTTTCTTGGACAACAAGTACAAATCAATAAATCAATTAGGGCCACATTAACGGGCTTAAAACGCAACTGAAGGTTTAATATGAACTTTATGATCTAAAATGAGCAAAGTGCATTTTATAGGTTTACAATAACACATTGCTTCATGAAAACTGTAGAAAAAGTCACTAATGTCTGTCGACTGACTAAACAGTTTGACTAAAGTGAATGATGTGTTTCTCTGTAGCTGCTGTAGTGTTGGACCGTGAACACACACTGAGCTCCACTTTACCTGCAACATCCACGCTGAATCTGATGGCGTCACCTGAAGTTTCACACGTGTAAACTCCAGAGTGAGATGCATCAGCAGACTGGATGACAATCCTCCTCATATTCCCATCTGACTGGATGCTGAGGCCTTCATTCATCTGCAGCTCTGTGCCATTTTTGCACCAGGACACCTTTGCAGAAGGGTGGGAGACTTCACAGTAGAGTACGATGGCATCACCTGCCTCCACCTTCTTGTTGCTGTCCGACTCCGACTGAGGCCGGAATTTGACTTCAGCAGCTGCAAGAACACAAACACACACAACAGGTGAAGTCCAAAGTCGTGCATCCATCACATGCTGAATGTACCAACGAAACCAGATGTTTACGTTTAACCCTGAGCACGGCTGAATCCCGGACTCCGTTGGCTATGAACGTGACCTCTGCTGTGTCCTCTGTTGTGTGAGTTTCATGGATCACTAGTGAGTGCTGTGTTTGGCTCTGTTGGATTGAATATCGTCCATCATGCTGCAGTTGGGCGCTATTCAAAAACCAGGTTCCCACCATGGAGGCAGACAGTTCAATGACGAAGCGAGCGTCTTCTCCTTCAACGACCTCACAGCCTTGGAGGCGACGAAGAATCTTGGGTCCAGAGACTAAAGAAAATAGAAAAAGCAAAAATAGAAGTTACCCAAAACAAAGAAGATGTTTTTCTGTTTCATTGCTGTGGATTTCCAAAGCAGGTCTGGTTTCAAATCAGTACAAATCACATGACAGTGTGGAAGTACAGGTGTGGGCCTCAAACTTTAATCAGCTCCTGAACATTCACACTGAAATCCTGCTTGGCCTGCTTTCTCAGGACAGTCTCTGTATATGCATAGTTCTACGTGACAGTGTGTTCCTCACCCAGGTGGACCACTTTGGGAAACTCCACGTGGCCGCTTCGGCCGTACTTGTTGATGCAACAGACACGGAAGCGGTAGTCGCCGTCGCACGGCACGCTGTCTCCAGTGACCTCCGCTGAGGTGGACGTCTCTGAGGTGAAGCATTTCTGCCACTCCTGAGAACCCACTTCTTGTCTCTCCAGCACAAAAATGGAGCGAGTGGAGGTCTGGCTGTTTGGGGCAGGAACCCAGGAGAGCAGAGCGCTGTTGGGCCTGTCTGTGTCCATTCTGACTCCCACAGGACAGACAGGAGGACAGTGTCTGGTGGCTTAAGGACAGAAGTCATGTTTAATTAGTGGAGGCTGTTGAAGCGATGCATCTATCGTGGAACATGAAGGACTAGAACAAGTTTGAAACAGTTGAGTATTTGTGCACAAAGAGGTCTTGATGATTGGTTGTTTCGTGTGGATAGAATGACCGTAGAAATCAAATCAGCAGTTTCTTAAACCTCAAAAACAAGTGTGTAACCTTTTGGAAACATACCTTTGACCTTGAGGCGTGATGAAGTCTTGGATCTTCCTGCGACAAACGTCACGACCCCCGAGTCGTGATAGGCCACGTTGACAAAGACGAGGATGTGAGTTTTGCCAAAAGACTTGAGAATCGTTTGGTGTGTCTCTTGTAACTTTAAGCCGTCTTTGAACCAGTGGACTTCCATCTCATCGCTCTCCACCTCCACGCAGAATGCTGCGTTCTCACCCTCCAGGACCTCCAGCTTCCGAGGAAGTTTGCGAACAATGGTTCCTGTGAGTATAAAGACGTGTCAGCCAGTGTCTAACTTATCTCTAAAGTCTTGCTCTGTCATATTACACCTGATGAAAACAGGTATTTTACGCTCAGTGCAGCCCACCTTTAACCGACAGCTCGGCAATGCTTTTCGCTCCATCAGGCATCTCACAGAGGTAGACTCCATCATCGTCTGTCCCGATGTCGTGGATGGTGAGTCTTCGTTTGGTTCCTTTCTGCTCCATCCCATATTTACTGCTGGGCATCAGCCTCTGGTCCTCCAGGTACCAGGCAGCTGGCAGCGACTCATCAGGAACCTCACACTCCAGCACAGCTACATCCCTTTCCTTCACCTCCACGTCTTTCAGTGGGCGTCGGAACCGCACAGCTGGGCCTGAAGAACCAGTTTGCTATGTTACAGGATGTGTTTGAACAAATACTTGTAGATTTCATACATTGATTAACCATGCATGACTCCTGAAAGCCTTCTGCAGCGCTACAGGAGGTTCAGTGATTTCAGTTTAATGTTGCAGCTGCAGCAGACTGGTCCGAGCATGGCGCCGTGGCAGCAGCCGTCCTGCCACGAGGACAAACGACTGAGAAACTGTGAAACTTAAACTGTTTGAAACTCTCTTCAAAACATTATGATTAGAAATTGAACGTGCAGAATGTGTAATTTTGGTGTTTAATTTGTTGTAAAATAACATGTATTACACTTTAAAAGCTGTTTCTTACAGCTGCTGTCATGCTGCTCCACATCATCTGGAGATGAAGGACCAGCATGGAGACCCCGAGGCTAACGGACTCTAATGATGAAGGCAGAACCGTGTCTATGAGAAGCTCTGTGACCCAGACCGTTATCTGACCATAGGGAAGAGATTAGGACAAAATAATGAACCGCCTCTAAAGCTGACGTTGTGCAGCTCAGCTCTGCACACTGAGCGATCAGCTGCAGCTCATGACATGAGCATCACGATGTGGCTGGAGGTCAGAGGCACTCTGGAGCATCTGCAGAGGTTTCTACGGTGTTCACATGATTGTGTTGGGCAGCTTCACAGTGAAGTTGTGTTGTTTATTCCTGCAGTGGTTTTCTATCCACCTGTCATGGCTGACTATATGACAGCGCTGAAGGTTGCAGGAGATCATCATGTTGGGATCTGTTCATCCTTGAAAGACAGGACGTGCCGTCTGTGTCTAAAATAAGGACTTTAAAGATAGAAGTATTTTGTTCTGTACAGATTGAGGGAGGAAGCCGTTGTGGCATCACCTACCTTTGACAGACAGGTGAACAGCACTCAGTGTGTTTCCCAGAGTGTTGGATGCTGCGCACACATACAGGCCCGTATCCTGCACTTTGCAGTACAGAACCTTCAGGGTGTAGTAACCCTCTCTGTCCTCAAATATCAGGTGACGTCTGTCGGGCTCCAGGGGAACCCCGTCTTTCTTCCAGATGATCTCAGGTTTTGGTTTCCCTGTTACGAAGCAGCGAAACTTGGCGTGCTTCCCCTCAGCAACTGCAAACTTCTTGACTTTGGATGCGTTGACAGGCGGCTCCTCCGTGAGCCTGGACAGACCGAGCCGCCCGGCCCGGTCCCTCGGTGACCGCTGGCTGTTCGTGTGGCCGTTTGAGGACATTTTACTCTCCTCTCGCTCTGGTACCGGCTCGACCAGAAGGACTGCACCGGCCAAGGCCTGACCGTGTCCGTTGACGGCCTTGCAGGTGTAGACTCCTTTATCTGGGATGCGTGTCCTGTAGATCTTGAGCTGGAACCAGCCGCCATCTTGGTTGCTCACACTGAAGTGCGAACTCTCGAAGATGTCGTTCAGCTTCTTCCCATCCTTCTCCCAGATCACTTCTGGCAAAGGCGTCCCCCAGATTTTGCAAGAGAAGGCAGCATCTTCTCCCCGATCCACGCGCAGAGACAAAGGTTTGATGAGGAATCTGGGTTTCTGATCAGATGTTAGATCAACCTCTTCTTGTTTTTCACTTCTTGTTCCGTTCCACTTGTGCTCTCCGTTCACTTCCTCCCCATTTTCTTTCCTATTTTCTCCATTTTGTGCAGTGCAGAAGCCATTGAGCTGTCCTCCAGATTCTATCACATTATTCTCTGGTTGCTTCACGCCATTGAGCATGGACTGCCTGAGCTCCCCATCCTGTGCCGGGGCCTCTCCTTCCACTTTGAGCGAGGCTGCTGCGTAGGTTTCACCGATGCTATTTCTAGCCTTGCAGATGTACTGGCCAGCATCCTGCTGGGTCACTCCAGTAATGGTCAGCAGGTAAACTTTCCCCTCCTCGGAGAGCTTGTGGCGTCCTTCAGACAAGATCTGGACATTTTTACGTTCCCAGATCACATCTGGACGAGGGTCACCACTGATTTGGCACTTCAGTGTTGCATCTGCTCCACATTGTGCCAGAACAGGCCGTGGGTAGCCCAGAACACGAGGAGCACCGCCGAAGATATCCATGATTCTGGACCTTTGGTCGAGTTTGAGTGAAGAGCTTGGTTTTGCTTTGGGAATTTTCAAACTAAGCCTCTTGTCTTTGGTGAAGGAGCTGCAACGTGAAGGAAAAATATGTTTTAGTCCAAACACAGAATAAGACTCACTGAACTTGTTCTCTGACAAAAATCACCGTCTGAACAACAAAAGCTGTGATGCTGCTAGAAACTGACTGAACAGAGATAATTCCATCATATTACTATCAGTCATTCAAAGCAGACTGAAGAACATCATAAAATGCTGTTTGTCCCACAGTCATTCACTGACGAGGGTTTTGAGCAAACACTCATGATTGCCTCACAGCTGGTGCTGTAGCTCATTTAAGAGTGTATTTATAAAGTAGTCTGACCAAAAAAAGACTCTGGAGACCATCTGTCACAGAGCACACAGACTCCTGTGGTCACTAACTGGGACAGAACTGACCCATAAATCCATGTGTGCCTCGTACACCGACGGTGTGCTTGTTTCTGTTTGGCTTTGTTCTTGAATCGTTGCCTGTTTACCAAGTTGTCAACAACTGTGAGGTCTTGCAGAAACACAACTAATGGAAACATGTGCACTGCTCTCATAGCAGCCAGTGGAAAGCTCGAGTCCCCCTTGCATGGCTCCATATTGGCACCTATTGCTGGCGCATGACGCCCCCCGTAGTGGTGAAAGCACGGCTGATATGCTGGTAGGCATGTGCTGAGCTCCTCATCGAGCATTTTGTTGCCACATGGATGATAATTATTTTGCTAAAAAGTCTAAAATGAAAGCTTCAATAGAAAATGAGCAGAACAGTACAGCTGGAACCATTTCATAACTTTATCCATGCAGTCAGAGAACAAACTCACCCCTCTGTTCAGGAGTCGCTCTCTTTAAAGCATTCTGTCAGCGCTGTGGTATGAACCTAGAAGTGACGTCCTCAAACCGTCCACGCTGGCATCAGATGACCTTTGGTTCTTCTTTAGATATTTGGTGTGTTGCTCTGGAGAACAGTCTTGAAGCTCTGTGAGGCTCTTCAGCTTTCGTTCTTCATCTTCCTGGTTTGCTGTTTATAGATTCTGGTTTACATCTGAGACTTCTGCTCACTGACTGTCAACGAGGAAAACAAGGAAACAGAGATCTTCCATTCACATGTGCCGGCTCATTATCACAGGAGATATTTCTTTAGTTTGGTGTCCGGCTGCAGGTGGCAGAGAGCAAAATGACCACGTTGGTTCATGCATCAGCTTTGATAGTGTCACAGGCCAGAAGCTACAGAGTGAGAGGGAGCTGGAATGGAGGATGGGGGGCATTAAATGCTTTCGCAGCTGCTGTCACCACAAGCCACCCCCTAAAAATACCAGCAGCTTCGATGACGGTGGTTCAGATAAAGTCTCCATTCACTAAAGATAGAGGGGAGGCCGAGCTCTGCCACAGATCACTCAGCTCAACAGAGATCCTGAGTAAAACCTCAGTGGAGAAAGGACACCCCAGCTGCTCATGAGTCACGCTGACCCACAAATAGACTGATTATTGTCTGGTTAGTACTGAGAAATGATTTATATCGAGCTGTGACTGAATAAATGTCTCATTATCTACCTTTCAGTTCAGTACAAACCCTGTTACATTCAGACGCACACAGTAAAGAGCAGTTACGACATTTAATCTTACAAGAGATGAAATTTCATCTTTTTATAGATCCACAATGTAAAATCCAGAATTATAGAAATACTTTGATTTCAAGAACAAAAACAATGAACAGTGATATGGAGTCGTAAATAGATGTGATCAGAAAGATTCAGATTCAGGATTAGCTGTGTTTCCTCTGCATTCATTTAGGAGTGGCGGGCCATTCCTAAATCCCAGCCACCGCTCCCTCAAATTTCTTTTTTTTTGATTTTTTTTATTGTCGCAAATACACCAGCATGTCTCCACCTTCACATGTCTCCACCTTCACATGTCTCCACCTTCACATGTCTCCACCTTCACTGCAGAGTCCTGCACTGGGTCGGTACTGGCGAGAACTAAGGTAAAGTACAGATAACTATCTTATTCAGTCTCTACTCTTTGGGAGGTTAATGGGACGTCATCCACTCGCGACTACGAAGGTAAACTACAGATAACTATCTTGCTCAGGATCTACTCTTGGGGGGTGTCTGAGTGAATGCTGCTAACGTTAGCAGCGATGATGACCGTAGTGAAACTCGGTCAGCACCGACGCCAAAAAATTTCCGGTAAGAAACCCCCAAAAAAAACGAACCACCAAAATTGCAACCAAAATTTTTCAAGAAACAACCGAAACGGCCGTTACTCTGTTATGACGCTGACAAGAACCTTGCATGCAATTATTATTGTTATTATTATTATTATTGTTGTTGTTGACACTATTTAGAAAATGTATTTAATGACTAAATGCATGTTGACATACAGGGATTCCCACTGATAGCCAATCAAAATGAACGTAACAGAAAGTCGCCACGTACCGGAGCTGCAGGTCGAACCGGTTAAGCAGAGACGGCGAGCCCGTTGGTTGCTGGTGCAAAACCAGTGAAGCAGTCGGTCGGGTGCCTGCTTCTGTACCATCTGCTCAAAAAACAAACAAACAAACAAAAAAACTCCTGTAGGCAACTAGCGGTAAAAAAAAAATGTAAAAAAAAGTGCTGTCAGGCCACAGAGCTGCTGTCTGCTCTGAAACTCAACCCGTTTGCCGGAGCAGCAGCCACCGCTGAGGTACCGGCATCATGACTGACCGGGTCTGTTCATTGCAGAACATGACTTGTCCTTCACCATTTCTCAGCCACTCCTTCATCTGTGCAAAAAGCTGGCTGAACATAAAAATGCTTCGTCAAACTGTCTGTGTCAAACCAGCAAGCTGGTCACACAAATACACATGATATAGCGCCAGCATTTAAAAATTGTCTTTCTGAAAAGCTCAAAAGATGTGTTTTCATACTGACGGAGTATTATATTTCAAAACTAGAGAAGCCCTCAGAGAGCCAGACCTCCTCCGAGCAGCTCATTTCCACCATGTGGTGATTTCCAGCTGATGTTAAAGTCCTGATTCATTTATCTACACTCTTAGATTCATGGAGAATCAGAACATAGCTTTAGCATTGAGTTAGCATTGATATCATCAATAACAAGCTGACGGACTGATGAGCGCTCGTTCTGGACTCTCAGACATTTTGTACACTTATGTCTGCAGTTCCTCACTGGCTTTAAGCTGTTAGCTAACGCTATGCTAGGTTAGCATAACTACAGCGATGCTACTGCTCACATAGACAGGGAGTAGCTTAAGCTAGGCTAGCACAACTTCAGCAATACAACATACATGAAAAGCATGACCCACGCAACGAAGCACGTCGTCCTGACTCATGGCAAAGAGAGTTAAAGGGAACCAGGAAACATGCTGAGTCATTGTTAGTGTCACAGTGTGGTTCTGAACTTATCTGTCAGCAGCTCGGCTCAGCCCACTCCTGTGGTGCTGCCTGGCTGCAGCTTCCTCTGTACC